GGTCCTGCCGCCGCCATTACCTCCCAGGAGACCGCTCCAGTGACCACACAGCCTGAAAAGCCGTCCCAGGTGGAAGTGCAGCTACCTCCCGAGCCGCCTGGTTTGTGTGATGAGGTTCTACAGCAGAAAGTGGACTCCATTATTCAACGCATGCGCCTCGACGTGTCCTATGATCCGAATATGAAGATTCAGGATAACAAACACTTCCGTAATCCGAGGTAATCATCTCTGTTCTCCCACGGTCATTACTCTTCTGAATTGTAGCATGTATGAGAAACTCATCTCCTTTTTGAAGATTGACGAGAAGGGCACAAACTTTCCACCCGTAAGTTTACGCTGTGTTCTTTTATTAAAATGTTTATTGCTGTGGTACTCCTTATTTTTTGTTACTACGGAGTTGCTATGACCCCGCCTAACGTCGGAATAAAAACAACCGGCCAGGTTTTGACACTAATGGGCACCCAATCTTAAAGTATTCTATCATTGAATTAGTCGTATAAAGCGTGTCTCTCAGACAAAATACCAGCCTCAGCTCCAGTCTTGCTATCCATACTTAATAATTTTATGTGTCTATTTTGATTCAGTCTCACATCCAGCCTTTTCAAACGCTAGCTCCTTCGTCAAATCTATTTCAATTTCCGATGAACTTGAGTTCTTTCGTACTCACCACAGGGGGTTTATTTTTGGTGTCTAAACTGCACTGGCAAGCTCCTTCGTTAACGTGCAGCCAGCCCTTTTACACAAAGGCACACAAGCGACTGAAGTAAACCGGACTGTAACCTTCTAACAACTCAGAATGATTGTCTCAAATGAACACTCGAGGATATATGCCGAGCAGCAGCACACGACGAAGCCCCTGACTTGATTTTCCCCCCGGTCATCGTAGTTTGGCTTTCAAGGATGCAATTCTCTGGATTGGAAAAGACAAGGGAGACCGGAATGGCCATTTCTGTCTTGTTAGCCGTCATCAGTTAGTCATACCTCATCTTAAGAGTCGAAACCCCCGAGATTTGAACCCGGGACCTCTGGTCATTGACTTCATCACTCTACCATTGCACTGCGGGCTCGTTGCTTTGTTGGTTGCCCTCGAGAATATGATAGAACTCGGGCATATACTTGTCCCGTTGTGCTTTGAGGCTAGTGCTTGAGTTGTAGCAGACAGTCGCTTAGCGAATTTAAACATATGATGGAGTGGAACCGACTATGACAAGAGGTCCCGGGTTCGAATCTCGGGGGTTTCGACACCCGACTCATGTGAGATAAGCCATAGAAAAGACACCGAGTGGAATGCCTCCGATTTCAAGGCACTCCTTCCATCGTGATTAGACTTGGCCCTTGCAACCGGAAGATTTCCTCCCTTTATACTTGAATGTTTAATGTATTTTTCATCCCATCCCCTGAATTAGTTTTCCCGTTCATCATACGAGCGACTACTGTATCATCGGCCAGGATCACAGCCAGTCGATAGTGCCCTGCGTTCTCATCGATTACTGTGGCTTGGCTGCTACACAGACTTAAGGACGAGATTATCCAGACATCATATCGCCCGAACGCGGACGTTACAAATGGGGCCACTGAGTTGGCCAACCAAAGACTCGGGTTGATGGGACGAGGGAGTGTGTCAAGCGCGGTCTACGGCCTGTGTGGTTGGCATACCATCCGACCGGACTCACGGC